AGCACCTCAGTTGGCACCGCCACAGACATCTGAGACCCCGCCCAGGTCCCCCCCCCTCAGCATCAGCGTCAGAGCTGCCGGGAGCCATCCCCACGTGGCCCGTGGCCCCACAGCAGGCTGGGGGCTCAGAGCACGGGGGCCCAAGCCCTTTCAGAGTGTGCCTACAGGACAGGGCCACGTTCGGGGTGGGGACGCAGGCCGGCTGGCTGCTCTTCACGCTAAGGGACAGCCAGAGGCCACCACCCGGACCTGGTGTGCCACCGAGCCCTTCCATGCACCTCTTCCTCCTCCTCGATGCCCTGAGCAGGGGCGGGGCAGGGGCGACAGCAGGAGGCCCCTCAGGGCCTGTGACAGTCAGGTGGTCTTGGGTACCTGGCAGGGCGTGGGGCAGAGTGGCCTGGGGCTCCCCTGGGTGCACGCCAAATCTCAGCCCTCGGGCTCAAAGCACAGTCTCCTTGGGGCGGCCTGGGCCCCTCTGTGCTACCCGGGCCACTGTGGTCCCCGAGGGCAGACCAGGGCACTGCCACGCTGGCCTGAAGGGGGTGCCCGGACGCACCCCTGCCTTCCCCCTGGCCTGGATGGGTCTGCCCTGGGGATCAGAGAGGAGGGGGCGGGGACAGGAAGCCCAGGGGCTGGCGCCGGTCCAAGACCAGCGATGAGCTCTCCAGTGCAGGGGGTGGCACGGCACAGACTGCCACCAGGAAGGCACCGCTGACAGCAAGGCCTGTCCCCAGCTGTAAAGTGGGAACAAGCCACACAGCCGGGCGGCGGAGGGTTTCCTGACCAGCAGTGCCCGGCACAGGCAGGTCGGAGGCAGGAGCCTCAGCACTGGGAGAGGAGACCGCCCCCGGCCGCCGAGCCCACGGGGCTGACCGCACGAGTCCCAGCCTGGTGGCTTGAGACACGCGGGCGTTGGTGCCTGAGATCCGAGGAGCAGGGAGAGGTGAAGGGCCCGTGGCGGGGCGGACAGCACACTGTGTCCCCCCCTCCCTCTCCCTGGCCGTTACCAGTGACTGGGGCAGCAGATGCCGTAACGGTTACAGCGCTGGACTCCCACCTAGGCAGCTGTGGTTCAAGTCCTGGACCTGGAGGCTTAAAACTCACACTGGGCATGTGGGTAAAAAAGGAGGGTGATTTCTCACTTTCTCTCAGGCAAGCTCATGTACCCTACAGCAAAAATCTCTCCTTGAATGAAAAAAAAACAAACACAGTGACTGGGACCGGATAGTGTAATGGTTATATTGGTGGACTCCCCCATGGCTAAGCCCGGTTCGAGTCCTGAACCTGGCAGCTTGAAACTCACACCGGGTGCGTGTGTGCCCAAGATCCCGAGAGGAGAAGGGATTGCGGCATGGCCATCCTCCAGGGGGGGGAGTGATTTCTCGCTCTCTGTCTCTCTGTCTCTGTTTTTCTGTCGAGCGCATGTGCCCTATAGTGAAAACCTTTCCCAAAACAAAACAAAAACTAGAGGTTACCGGGGCCAGCAGGTGGTATGGTGGTTAATGCGCAGGACACTCCCAAGTGGCTGACCACGGTTCAAGTCCTGGACCTGGTGGCTGGCTTTCTCACTTTCTCTCTCTCTCTCTGTCTCTCTCTGGTCCAGTTAAAATGAATGAATAAATGAAATTTAAAAACAAGCTAGTGGTTGGAGTTGGGGAGAAGGGATGGTACTGACAAAGGAGAGCCCAGTAGGAGGGTTATCAAATAGCGTTCTAAGGTGAAGCCACGTGACCCCACTGGTTCCCACTGTCCCAGCGGTCATAAAGACGGCCGTGGGGACCGGCACGGGTGAGAGCCCGGTCACCACACACGGTCCCTGGCCAGTGCGGCCTGAGCCCAGAACACGCCAGGCTGCAACCTGCAGGGCCTCGGGAAGCGCATGGAAAACACACATCACTGAGAGGGAAAATAAGGCAGGCTCGGGGGCCAGCGGGGGGCGTGGCTGGGGTGCTGGATTCCCACGTGGCCAACCACAGTTCGAACCCCAGGCCTGGTGGCTGGTCTCCGCACTCTCCCTCTCACTTTCTCTCTGGCGCGTGCATGTACCCCACAGCATAAAAAAAAAAAAAAAGATAAAGAAATATTTTATTTATCTCTATTTATTAATGTAACACATCCACAGAGAGAGAGAGAGAGAGGAAGAGTGAGAAGGCAAGCCTCCAGGTCCAGGACTCGAACCACACATGGCCATGTGGGAGTCCAGCGCCTCAGCCATCACAACACCTGCTGGCTTGACTCAAGCATTCAGGACAGAGCAGCCGAAGGAGCTGGGGCAGGGACAGTCCCCTGGAGTCCTGGCCATCGGCACAGACACAGGCCCTGCCCCGTCTGAGAGGGCCCACCTGGCCCCCACCATCGCCCACTGGCTACCCTAACGCTGCTGCCTAGAGCTCAATCCAATAATAAATCTTAAAAAATAATTAACAGGACCAGCAGGTGCCGTAATGGCTGTGTCGCTGGACTCCTGTAGTCGACTACAATTCGAGTCCTGGACCTGGTGGCTTAAACTCACGCCGGGCGTGTGTGCGTGCATGCCCAAGATCCCGAGAGGAGAATGGAGGAGAAGGGATTGCAGCGTGGCCATCCCCCTGGGAGGTGCTTTCTTGCTTCTTTCTATCTCTCTGTCTCTGTCTTTCTGGAGAGCGCATACTCCCTATAGCAAAAACCTCTCTTAAATAAATAAATAAATAAATACCCATTTCTATGGCCCAGAGTAAGGCATGTGGGTCCCACATGGTTGGCCATGTGGTTCGAGTCCTAGACCCGGTGACTTAAACGCACCGGGCTTGTGTGCATGTATGTCCAAATCCTGAAAGGAGGGATTTTGAGAAGGGATTGCAGCATGGCCATCCTGCATAGGGTGGTTCTCCTCTCTGTCTCTCTCTGCTGAGCGTTCCTGTCCTCTGGTGCACACACATACACGCACGTGCGCATGCACACAACTGATGTATGGGTTTCAAAAGTTGTGCCAAAATACACTTGGAATTCCACTTGTTCATGAGCTTTCTGAAGACCCTGCGTATTTCGGGGGGCTTCTGGAATTCCCATTTTTCGGATGGGAACACAGAGGTGCAGGGAATTTGAGCAGGTAACAGTTCAGGGGAATAGAGGCCCCAAGGCCGACAGCTGCACCTGCACGGCCCCGCCCTGCCGCGTGTCGGGGCGGGGCCAGGGAGGGGGCGGGACTACACAGGGATGGGAGCCCGCCCCCCACCTGAGCCCGGGCCCCAGGCCCCGCCTCCGGGGCAGCTGCGACGGATTCCCCAGCTGCGCCCGCAGCACAAAGCCCAGGAGAGCCTCTCCAATTCACCCCGGCTCGTTAATGCGCAATTTACCGGCACTTTAATGCGCTCAGCAGG